TAGTTATAGTTATAAGTGTTCGTGATGCTCACATCTTCAAGGTCGAGTACAGTATAAACATCTTCAAGGTTGAGTACAGTATATAACTAGACATGAAGTACTGCGGTATGACTAAAAGTCCCATAAAGCGCCTTTACCAAATTAGTAAAATAACATAGATAACTAAATTAGAGAGGACTTCGAGGAGTTTATCTTCTGCTTGTTTTCTTTTTAGTTTTCCGTTCATACCAACTTTCCAACGTTTTATTACCAAAAAAGGTATATCATTTATAGATGATATACTTTTTATATTAATGTACTACACACGTTGCTTAATCAAGCTTCGGACCTATCCTCAGATAGAACGTAGTGATTGAGCATGGGATATTCTTAACGATAGAGGCAGAGTGACAAACGTGTGCCCAATACATCAAGATGATGAACATGGAGACTGGCAGAAACATCCCAATGATTAAAATCTATAAAGACTTACATCTAAATATCACAGACTAGTTTTGAGGTCATTTATTCAAATTCAATCGCGTTTGTGCATATTACGTTAGAATTCCCATCACATTTCCCCGATTCAATTTCTTATTGACGACGTATTACTTTCTCCTGTAACTTTGTTTATTGCTTGTAAAGTGATAGAGGTTTACTTCTCTGGCTTGAGAAGTGCAATCAGGCATGCTTTAAATCCGGAATCGAATTTTCATTTGTTTTAAGCTCCTGATGTTTATGGTCTGGAATACTGATTGATCTTAGCTATTGACATGATTAATTTCAATTCAATTCTATTTCAACTTATTTGATTCAACATTTCATCATACAATATTTTTTACATTATGTATTGATTGATCAAATCATTTTATCATTTTTTAAATTGTTTACTATATGCGTTGCCTTTTGAAAGTCCACTGTCAACGAATTTGTAAGGATTGCACCTATGATCGCAATTGATTTTCGACAAATCTCAGTTCTAATCTTTTGATTGTCAGATTATATCTATATTATCATGGGGTTGTGTGTCTTAACTTTGGTGTTTCACTCCTATAATGAAGCTAGACTGCAATAACAGTGTTAGTTACTTGTATTATGTGTATGCTTCAAGAAAGTAATGCTTATCAATTGTGATATATGTAGCTAGAACACCTAATTGTGTTTAAAATCATAAAAGAACCCCCCCCCCATATTAGAAGCAGGGTCATCTGACCCCTTCCTAACTGTCGAATCGTTTAAATGTTTTATTATATTGCCCATTGTACACTGTGCAAATCAAACGATATGTACAGGCATTCTTGAAACGTAATTAAGGTATTCCTTAAGACCTATGGTACCACTTTCGTTTATTCATTTCCCAGCTGTGTCCATTCTAATATTACACATCAATAAGAGTGGGTATATCCTTACCGGAATATGATCTTCATAAAATTTGCTTTAAGGACAGATGGAATCTAAGTTGAGTTTGTATAACACTATGAATATACCCACCTAATTCCTACCATAAAAACCTGTGGTTAATAATGCTATGATCAACTGAGAAATAACGTTCCTTATTAGAAGATAGAAGATGAAATTATGAAAATACAAATCTATCTTAACAAAACACTTTTCCATACAAAACATCTTCCACAGGAAAATACATACTTATAAATACTGAAGCCCATTTTATGTTATACCAGGAAAATACATACTTATACTAAAGTCCATTTTATGTTCTAAACGTTGTATTCCCTAAAACACGTCATATGTTATGTCGCCATAGAGTCGCTGGGCCATGTTTATTCAGTTTTCTTCAATGTTCAAAAAATGATTGGAAAATTAGATCATTTTTTTCTGAATCTGAATCCGATCCCGTATCAGATGCAGTACACACTTGGAATCGGAACTGACATTCAGTTGTAGACGTTCGAAGAGGCTAGCAGTTTTTTCACATCTGTTTCAATAGAATAGATTGGTTATTGATAAGGGACTGGATATAGATTTCATTTCCTCGATGATATCATATCATCACGCGTCTCACCTCTGCACGCATTACAAGTACAATTCCAAGAATGGGGGCAACACAGGTTGATTCAAGGTTTAGACGACACGATATTATCAACATTTATTCAGAGATCGACTTGTTTGAATCCTAAAGGTTTAATGCCTATGGCTATCATATCGTCACGTGTCTAACCTCTGCACGCATTACAAGTACAATTCCAAGAATGGGGGCAACACAGGTTGATTCAAGGTTTAGACGACACGATATTATCAACATTTATTCAGAGATCGACTTGTTTGAATCCTAAAGGTTTAATGCCTATGGCTATCATATCGTCACGTGTCTAACCTCTGCACGCATAACAAGTACAATTCCAAGAATGAGGGCAACACATGTTGATTCAAGGTTATGACGACACGATATTATCAAAATTTGTTCAGAGATTGATTTGTGTGAATCCTAAATGTTTAATGCCTATGGCTATCATATCGTCACGTGTCTAACCTCTGCACGCATTACAAGTACAATTCCAAGAATGAGGGCAACACAGGTTGATTCAAGGTTTAAACGACACGATATTATCAAAATTTATTCAGAGATTGATTTGTGTGAATCCTAAAGGTTTAATGCCTAGGGCTGAATAAATTGACTCATTTGCTTAAATTATCCCCAAGCACCTTCATTGCTATTCAATATGATACTATTTGTAGTTGTTCACTCAATTGCATATTTGAAATTATGCACAAGTGCCAATAGGAGAGGAACAAAACTTGTAAAGTAACCTAGCAAGAAAAGCAAAGTCTAAGTGTAAACCTGTCATAAGAAAGATAGACCCTATACATGTATATCTAAAAATCCATGATCTATTGTGAAAAGATATAATGTCTAACATCCCCTTCCTCTTCAAATCGAGAGCCAATATCACAATCCTGAACCCAAAAATAGTTGTAGATACTAGTACATCCGTTTGCAAAACTGTCGCAATAAACCATAAACATATTGATGGGGAATTTCCGTTGTGAAACATAGAATTCATATTATTATGTCACAAGTGGTGACATATTGTTATGGTTTTCAACTTTCTCATGGATGGTGTTCGACGTAAGGCGGTTACAAACTGTAACAAATCGAAGGTGGTGACTTTTTTCCGGGCATTTTTCATGTTAATGCCTTGTTTTCAGTACTGTGTTCTGATTGGTTGATATTTGAGACATCATGCCTAGATATGAGTGAATAGTAAATCAATATCTATTTTTAATTCAGGGGTTTGCTTCTCAGCTGAAAAAAACATAAAACATTACAATTTATATATTTATTTATTCATTGTATATTGAATTAAAAAGTCAAGCAGGACATTATATATAGGACATAACTACTGATAAACGGTATACTATTATAATAATATAGATTATTATCAATTCAAATATATCATACATCTTGTTATAAGGGGTTATTTGTTTAAATGCTACATGTTTCTATATGATTAGCAGAAATCCACTAGGCTACATCAGCTATGTTTTACAAAAATATAGCACCGTTTTAAAATAACATCAAAATTATTATATAAACTAAACAAACATCATGATTACATTTGGTCCAATAGAAACACAAAGAAGCCATTTTTACAGTATGCCGGAAGGCTGCACAAAGCAGAAACAATTTTCTAATGAAGTGTTCAACCTTAACTATTATATAACAGAGAAAGATTTGAAACAACAATTGCTTGACTAGATTTTAAATTTGAAAGAATCTAATAATGAGATCGAATATCTATACGAACTTGTGGGAAATGAAATCATATTTCAAATGAATCTGAAAAATTACTTAGATCAGATATATAACTATGGAACATGACAAGGGTTACATATTATATCTTGGAATACCTTAGTGGTTTTATTCCAAGATTACATATACGTTGCACAATACCACTTGGATTTGTTCCATTTTCCATTTACAACAGCTTTGCACACCTATGTAAGTATCTCATTCATTTGCCAATTGTCATAAAGACGGCCAGTCGATTAGATACTGCATACAATGAAGTGCCATACTTGCTGCTACAAATTATAGCCCCTTTATTCAAAAGTCATCCGTTTCGACCAATGCATCGGTATGATTGACAATTTACAATAGGATAATTGTATATTGCAAGTTAAATATAATACTTCGAGGATCAATGCAAAGAGAATACTGTAGTAACTTCAATTCGAAACTTCATATCATATAAGTGAACACCAGTTTGTTGGTAGTTGCCTAGGCTGACTCATTTCCAGCGGTCGAGAAGGAAAATTTTTAGCACTAAAACCATGCATTGAATCAGCAATGATAGTTTAAAATACATAGAAAACGGCTTGACGAACATAGATGCCATAGGAGTGAAACGTATATAGAAATGAAAATCTGATGCAAGACATTTGGATGTATATCTAGACGACAGTTTTATGTATATCGGGGAAAATAAGAGAAATATATGGAGTATATTTCCTAACACTTTGAAATATCGAATTAACTTGTTACTAATTCTACAAATACATCAAAATGTTATGAGGAGTCTAGCATGCTTCTACAAAAGTCCCGTGACAATGCGATTTCTATAAAATGTTTATGACTTGTAAATACATCACCACTGCCCCCAATGTGATTTTATTCAAAGGGGGACTTCACCTTAACATTCTGTCTACTGCAGATAAAACCTCAATCCCGCAGGATTGAAACAATAAAATCTTAGCATAAAACTGACACCTTCTTGCACGCCTCTTGCTTAATCTCCCAAGAGGGACCTATTAAACATTATTAACTTGTGTGGAATCACCTGATTGTTGATTCATTGTACACAGTACTTCTGAAACGGTAGCCATAAAATCGTATTTGATGTAGGTACAAAGAAAGTTTCAAAATAATCGAACAATAATGTGGAGTAATAATGGTGTGTAATAAGTGCTTCCTCTTTTGATTATAGCACATACTAATACGTGATTTACATTCTCCTAATATTGATCTAGTCCCCTAAACCATCTAGTACAAAAACAAATCGTTATAACGTGGTCTCCTTTATAACGGTTGCACTACATGGGTGATTAGTGAAGTCCGTATCAGATAGCGATCTAGTTAGCATACGATCAGTGTTCATATGATTTTCATTCTGCACTTCAAGCCACTGTGTTTCGGTATCACAACTTTCATCAATAACACTTGGATTGTTGGACTCAGGACTTGGTGATTCTCCAGCTGCATCACTTAGAGTTTCAGTTCTCATACGAAGAGCGTCTTCATAAGGTGGAGGTTTTTCCTCGGCAGGAGTTGGAATTGGGGTATTATCACAAGTTGGTGTTTCATTGGTCGACTCACCTGAAGGTGCATCAGTCATTGCACCACGACCTTCAACACCCTCGGGAGTCACGGCTAGATTTGGTTGGGATTGACTATGGTGCTCAGTGTTTGATATATCATTGTTATCAACATTTCGTTGTCGCGGTTTGTTTTTTCTATGTCGTTTATGTTTTCTACGTCTTTGTCTACCATCCGTGTTTCTGTTGTCAGAAGTGATACGAAAAGCACCATAGGTACGTATGCAACCATTGGCAACAGCAGACCCATTAAGTAGATGGCCATTAGCGCGCGGAGGGTTGCCATTTGGGATACTAGGTGGAAGCCTATTTGATAAGTTACTATACACTACATCTCCATTAGCTATGTACCCCATAATAAATGTTCTTGGTGCATTTGGAGACGTTGGTGCATTAGATTCAGCACCAGCACCAAATACTTGCAAAGGTATACTAGTAGGGGTTATATTTCCGTTAGCATCGTGAGTACTCCTTGTCCATGGTATCTCACTCTCCATTAGAAGAGCCTCGGAATAGCTTGGCACTATGGTATGATTGTTTCGTATGTACTGTTCTAGGTCAGAATTTGTCCCAAATGTACTCACCCTTGACAAGTGACCTGGATTATAATTTGGGTCGAGATAATTAGACCCGAATACTTTATGGACGTTATAATGGACGTAAGCAGTTTTGTATTCGATGATGACCCGCAGTGGCCATGAAAGCATAAACACCGATGCAAGCCAGAAAATGATATGGCTCACATACCAAGGAAGATTGTCTGTGTCAGCGAAGGCAATCATATACTCTTTGAAATTCACATTCAATAAATCGAGGCCTTCTTTAGTTTCCATATAATCATCTCTACGTTCGTGTTCCTGAAAGAAGGTTGCTCTTTGGTCTTCAAACTCAGTTTCCGCCTCTGGACAGAGGAACGAAAAGCCTTTTGTGAATCGAATCTTTGTGGCAGGATACTGTTCTAAATTAGTTAACGTCCTCGACATGTCTTTTACTCCACAGTTAGAAAAATTGAATGCAGAACCAGCAGTATGGGAATTGATCCTTTCATAATAAACTTGTGTAGTTGTGAAAGCATCTCCATTCCTATAGCGAGTTACTTGTCTAGTTCGACGTACATAATGGTAGCATACAGCTTTCCACCAAATTATGGGAAATGCTTCTCTCATATATTGTATTCTATCATATACGGCATTGACGTCAACCTTGTAACATAACTCCAACCTTGTATGACAATGCCAGCATTCAACAAGATATACCAAATATAACATTACAACGAAGGCCACTGGGATGTAGACGTAGCCATCGTCACAGGGACTAGCTTGGTTCAACTGCCGTATAGGATATTCATAGAATTGCACCTCGACCTTGGTGACAACAGTTAGCCGACACCAGGAGATGGCAATAAGGCAGCCAATGATGAGGACAGTCAGGATGAGACACTTCCAATGGGTGTCCCTTCTCAGTGAATCACAGAATGACTGCTTTAACGGGGTTTGCTGAAATAACAAATGGCAGTAAATAACAAATGAATTTCTATTGTCGACCCTTTTCTTATGAATATTTGAACATATGGGTTTACATTTTGGAGTTTGGTTTTAAAAATGAATCAACCCAGAGAGTATAATATTAGGGTTAACCTGGGATTAATATAAGCCACATAAGATTTCTTAACCGAATTCTAAATGGGAAACTAATCACTGGACGCTGATCATGATTACAGTTTTAGGAATTGTCAAAACAGTCCTCACTTGCGTTAGTAAAAGCATATTCTATCGCAATTGGATTATTCTTATCACTGGACACCAAACTAATTCTATATTTAATTCAATTACCAATCAAGAGTTTCTAGTTTCTTCATAACTTATACATTAATCAACTCTAATAAAACAGAGCTAATGTAGTAAACTTTGGATCAATCTCAGTTTATATCTCCCCGATTACTTAATTATATCATGTTCAATAAAACACGGTGAATTATACATATAAACCTAATAAAGGCTGGTAAGTTATATCAAGGGGTGGAGTATTAATGAACCTCTAACTGGTCAAAACGACCTCCAATACAACATTGATGTATTAGTACTTGAAACAAAGTGAACGAGGCACAGCCTTCTACTACCAGATTACACTGGTGTCAGCGCCTGGATTTTAGGTAAGACGTAAACTCATTATAAAGTCGTCAAACTACAATTTCGGAAAATATAGACAGAGGGGGCGTGATTGTCGCGATTGTTGTAGTAATATCACCAAAGTACGTTTCCAAACGTGATCAATATGTACGTGATGAACAAAAGGTCAATGTATAACTAATAATTTTCCAAGATCATAACCCTATATCTTTTATTAACATGTACAATAAATTGATGCATAGAAAAATAAATTAATATAATATTCTCATGTGGTGCAATGGCAACCAAAGTCACAGATTTAGGCATTAGGAGCCATTTTTAAATTTGAAATATAGTCAGTCGCGTAGGGTTTGTACATATGTAGTGTATATTGACGCCTGCTTGCGTCACTTGCAATCAGTGAAAGCTTTTAAGAAATCTATTACACGCAGTGCTAAGTCTATTAACTCTTGAAGCGTACCGATAGATTTTTCATTATTATAAAGATTTATTAGGAAGTATATTTACTTAGCGCTTCAACCGACCAAACATAAGATAAGATTTCCTGAAATATATTTCCTTAAGGACAAATCACGTTTAACGTCACTGCTGGATCTGTAACTTTGTAATCAGTTGGAATTTTTGTAGAATAGAAAAACCGGTGAAATATCATTTTGAAACGTTGCATGATTTACTTTAGTGAGATATGAATCGAGGATCAAGATTCTGTGTTGGTCATTTGGAGGTAACATATTTTCTTCTATTTCCGAGAAAGCTCTCAACGATTTCAGTGACACTAAACACGTATATATTAACATCAAAGGCCAATGTAAGAGATAACACTGTCCTAATGTCCCAAGTCTGTATTTTTGTGTGCCCGCGGTCCTACTGAATTGCGTAATATTTTAATGAGGTTCTCCCCAGGTATCACTAAAAGAACAATGAGCCATGCAGTGCAACTTACATGCCCATGTGTTTTTCAACAAAAATAGCTTATCCAATCTCACCTACACTCTCACTTTTTAAGGAATACCACGGTTTATTGCAGAGGAACTTCTGCGGTGCACTAGCAACGAGCAGACGCGGTTGACACACGCGAGCAGTCGACAAGGTTGTAACAGCGTAATTAGCGGTTTTAAGTGCGCTTGGATAAACTGTTTTTGTTGAAAACGTGTGAGCATGTAATTTGCAACGCATGGGTTCCTTGTTCTTTTTGTCATACCTGGGGAGAAAACTTATTATATATTATTCAATATACATGCGCGGGCAGTTCAAAAACGCAGTCATAGTTTGTGTGTATACCTACCTGGCCCAAACTGTGAAGACTCTGTAAGCAAAATTAGGTCATGTTGTATTAGGTCATGTGTATTGGAACAAAGACAATGGTTTGGGTTACATAAGAACTTTAATTGTTTAATTTTGAAGCATTTTGACAAAATACAAAATTCTTCATTGCGAATTTAACCCTTTTATGTAACAGGTACATGTACCAGAAAATACATAGCCAATGTTACACCGGACAACATCGATTTATGTATTTATTCTTGTGGTCGACAGTACTCTGAGTCATCCTACTAAAGGACATCCAAGTGGTCTACAAGCACCAACAAGTCTTGAATCATCCCCATAAAAAGTGACTTTGTCTCAAAGGGTTATTATTGGTCCCAATGGCCTTGTATTTAGCTTATGAAATAAGGTGAATTAATCCTTATGTCAGAATTTTTAGATTGATCCGGGTTCTTTGATAGTGCTGCTACGAAGGCAAAGATTAAAAGGATTAAAGGGATTCCCTTTTCATGTTGGATAACACAATTAATCAAAGACAATTCCAATTTCATGGTTTATCGTTTGATGTTTTATGCAGAGCTCATTTTAGTCAAATAACATCAGACTAAAAAGTTCACTCTATTTATCTTTATTACGTTTTTATTTTATCCCCTCGTTTGATGATGGTGCACTCAAGTGATATTTGTAGGAAAAGGTTGCCTCTAGTCAACAATGTTAAAATCTGTTATCTTAACCTATGGAACAAGAAAACCAATTACCAATAATGAAATGATGCAAAATGACAGAGGAACATTTGATAACCCCAAAGGACGGTAATTATCTGGTAAAACACAAATTCAATCATTAAGGGTAAATTGTAGAAACTGTCAGACTAAAAACACTCCACATCTATTAAAAAAATTTGGTTGACAACATCTAGGGACATTGTATTGTTCCTGCGTGGAAAACAAGCTTATATAATTTAATTACATTAAGTTACTTTATTTAAATGTTCTAAATATCGATGCTGGACATATGGCTTCAAGTGGCAACATTGAAAATGGAAGTCAGAAAGTACCTATACTTACAATTAATGATTCGGTGATTTCATCATAGTTTTCTGAGGAGGGGGGACTCATCTCCAACTAAAGTTTCAAAGGCCACCATCATGTGACGCAAACCATTAAGGGTAATCCAACTGTATTCAACATCGCTCTGGTTCGATACGTTTTTGATGGCCTATCAAGTTTATAATTTGATAGGTAAATCCAATTCCCTGAAAGCATACGGGTATCTACATCAATGACAGAATCTATTAAACGGAAGACATGATGTTAAACAGACTTATTCTGAGTCTAAATTGCACCGATGTTTCAAATCTATATGGAAAATTTCTCAAAATTAAAGGAATCGAAGGAACGGTAAACTATGCAAGCTGTAATCAAGTTATTCATTCATTTGGACAACATGCATTTCCACTGGTCAGTATCAAGCGAAGGTAACGGCCGTCACTTTCGCCTCAAAGATGGCAGACGGGTAGTGTCGATTTAGATATTTTTGATGATAATATAACTCAGCGGTGATGCGGTAACGTTATGGGAGTTTATAATAAAGAGCTAATATGTCTCGTTACAGTGTATTGAAAACTAACATGACCATTACCGTATCTTACATTTCCAGTTACCTTCCCTTAAGCGGTGGAAGATATCCTTGAACTGTGGCGCCCATGTATGATATATGAACAAATTATCATATTCCATAGTTCCCATGTCATATGAGTCTGATTTGGTTCAAATATCAATGCATTATGTCAACTATACAGTAGCTTAATTCGATGAAAACTAAAAATATCAAAACCGACACTTCACGTCCGCCATCTTTGATGCGAAGGTGACGGCCGTTACCTTCGCTTGATATTGACCAGTGACTTTCGTGTGACAATATTTGTGACAAAGATTAATGAAAACACAAGATATCCTCGAGTTCTGGTGCGAAACACAAATGTGTATTAAGTTCTTATTTTAGGACATTCTTAAAACTCTTCTTCAATATTCTTTTATTTATTTGAGGAATGACATTCGTCTTGATGCTAAAATGATGTTTACAACTGTAAACCATCTTGATTCACAAGTCGAAGATGGTTTACAGAACCGTATCCCGTTTTAGTGTAGTCGTATCTGATACATTTGACTGTAAATGGGTAAATGGACTGACTTCGGAACAGGGAGTGTAACCTACCTTCATTTCAAATAATGTCCTGATCAGTATATACGATAATGATTAATGACTGGCTTAATAGAGATAGATGTATATTGGAAGATCTTTAGATTTTAATTAGCCAGACCTTACAAGCAAATTATTATGAATCCGAGTAATCAATGAAAACTGCTCAAGACATGCTTGTTAGATTATTTTGCGCTTTGGGTACAGTACACAAGAATGCAGATTGCTAAAATGCCAATCTATTGAATGCAAATTTCGGTCATTTTACAATACACCACAGAACCTCTCAAAAATATTTTCTATCAAGTAAGGTAGCCTTTTTGCTGGTAGTATTCTGTCATGAGATTGGTAAAATGCGTATCTCTGCCATGTTGGCAATGTCAAGCAGTTCAGAACTCTAATACAGACACTTTGTCTCAAATCATGTGACACTGACATGAAAATCCAGTCTCAAATTCCACAATTTAGAGTCACAAGCTTAATCTCCGTTTGCAAACGCTGCAACCATTGCTCCTAAAACACAATAATTTCAACAATGGTCACGTCCAATAGTAACTATGATTGTTTTCATTTCAAGCTCGTTATTTCGTGGATTGTATGATTAGATAAACACCATCATCAGTTGTACGAGTAGAGCCTATATGTCCCCAAAGCCTATACCATCCCTCGGAATAGACTCTCTCGCGGGCTTTTGATAAAGGGAGTCTGATAAATCAGAATGCAACATGCGGTTAGGCGGTAAACGCTCAAATGCTGCAGCTCAAATGAGATCCAATTCTGAAATGGACATATATAAATTGATCCCTTGTCGTATTCTAATCGGTCTTTGTGTTGAGTTACAGCTCTTAAAACATCCATAAAATACATCAATATCTGCCAAATATACTTCCTAACAGTGGACAGGAGGTTTTGGATCATATACTAATATAAGAGAATATCAGAAAATTAAATGACTCCATTTCACTTTATGAAAATTTAATCGTAAACAAATAAAAAAATCAAATTCCAACATATCTAGTTTGTACAGGACTTTGAGGGTACACTAATGTACTATAATGTACTATTTGCTGCTTGAATAATTCATATTCATGGCACCTTTTTACCAAATAAAAGCAGAACTGCATTGACTCGAGAAAAGTCAATGGACTGACATTCTAATTAGCCTATTATTGGCTTCCTCTCTATGTGATGTGATATCTGAAAGGACATGGACTTATAAATATATTAGATATTCTAAATGAGGCTAAACACCATTTGAGGTATGCTTCCATGACATCGGCCATAAAATATGGCTGAGTCACTCGATGTACGAGGCGCATTCACATTATTATTCCACATACGATTGGGCACATCCTTAAGTGAATGAATCACAGCCAATGTTTTCCAGATCATGGTTCAACATCCATTGTGTAGTAAACAGAATATGGATGGCACAATCACGCCATATTATGGAAATGAAATTGGCTGTATTAATATCTTGGGACCAACCGAGGTATGTCTTTTCATGCTTTTAGGGAAGACTCATTACATTACATACAACACGTGTCTCTTGGGGGAGTTCTCTCGAATCTCGATATTGGACGAACTTCAGAAATGGGAAGTTTTAACAATGCAGTTGTTTATCTTTCCCGTTGCTGTGTTTTGTTATACTCTTTGGTCTTTTCGTATACATTACTTTTGCTTTTACTTTCGTTGTTCAAACGCTGAGAATTCAAATATTATAAAAAGGAAAAGTTCAACAAATTGTATTTATTGAATTTAACTTTTTGATCGCGAGAATTAATATTTGAACGACACAAGTGATTTCCGTGTTACACACTGAGAAAATTTTAATACTTTTAGGGAGAATAAGCCTATTCAAGTGGTTATACTTAGACACGTGAACATACATAGAATTCTGATGGATGTCAGATACATCTTCAAAATGATTTATCGGTTATAAATATAGTACAGGTTTTACATTGTTTAGATATTTGTATGTAAGTATAAAAATGCGACAATTTATCATAGAGGGCACTGGAAGTCAACGATATCTTGAATGTGGCGTCCTTTTTCCGACTATCCAGCATTTCAAAAGTACCATCATCCGAGTATTCAAAAGTGTTATGTCCTGCAACTTAGTTAAAAGTTTTACAAAACAAAGCAAGATCAGAAAATGAAACAACTACAAAGAGATACATACAACCAGTCATAAAGAAAACAAAACCCAAATATCCCAAAGCTACTAGATCACGTGTAAAGAAACAATGTATTTTATCCCCACCACTCAAAAACAATTATCACAACCCAAGACTACAAGGCCATGGGAGATTTTATTCATACTGAATATGATTGCATTACATGTTGAAGAATAAATTGAAAATGATAAACAATACTCTTAACACCAAAAATAGTCGCAGAATAATGTAACCTAGTAATTGTATTTATCGTGAATAATATACTTAAGAGAGAAACAACTTACTGTGTCAAATGCAAATCCTCAAAAGGGAATTCCAAATATGATCCTTCAAACGATTTAACTATAATCTATAGTCCCTAGACCAAATGTGTGGTAAATTGAAAATGAACGAACAGCTAAGTCCATATTAAGCAATTTGTAACACCTCTGTAGACTTTAAGTTATGTCATATTCAATTTAGACTCATTACTTAATATATCCCAAGGTCATGTTGCTGCACCCGGGAATTCAGTACGTTGTCATCAGTAAGTTGTTCATATGGCGTTATGCCAATCTTCTTACTTTTAAGACCTCTTGAACTAATATTACTACTTTCCGGCTGCAATGCATTTTACTTGAGATTCACGATGACTGCATATGCTTTGGAAGATGGTACTCAAGATGATTTTCAACAAAACTCGAAATGAGAAGTTGCTACAATTCTCCCCTCCAACAGAGTAGTTCCGTCCTCGGATGTAACTATGTTTAACTTACACTTGTAAGTCTAACTGCAGCTTTTTCTCAAGTGAGATGAAGTAGCGCTATCAACTTACACAATTCAATTTATTATTGTTTTCTTGTCGGTTACATTGGAATTGATTGTACTCATGTCGCGTTTATTTCACCTATTAACATTTTAGGCTTAGTTTTGACGTGCGTGAGTAAGAACGTTATTTCAATGATTATTGATTAGCATACAATGTCACTTTATTCCTTGGTAATTCTAACGTTTCAAAATAACCTAATATTCACCATATAGTAAGAATGTCTCAAATTTGAGCTTGTCAATACGTGTAACTGCTCACCTCTTAAATATTTTCAAATAGTTTTGTCATCATGTCTTCTGGTATATATTTTATATCCACATGTTTTAAAAGTGAGCGCTAGTCATATAATTAAATATTTCATTCTTATAACAGTACATATTTATTCACCTATGAAATTCATATCCCTAAAATAAATGATAGTTACGTTGAAATAGCTTTGTTCCTTTTCTGAATAGTGGCGTAAACTTACAGCAAATTGCATACTAGCTGATCGGCCCAATCTCAAGCGCTTAATGGACTTCTTTGAAGAACATTGGACAGTCCCCTACAAATATCTTAATTGACGTTTCATTTTCTATCCTCATAGGAAAGCATCAATATTAATGAAAAAGAGAGAGAGAATGTTCCTTTGACTCTGGGGGCAGTAATGCACAAGGTGTGTTGATATTTTCACAATAGTTATGCAATCCGAGGACGAACAATTTTATACTTCGGAGGGGAGTGTTACCGATTCAGAAAAACAACATTTGCAGTTGATAAGCCATTAACGTGCCAGAGCCGTAAAACAATAATGTTTCTGATTATATCATATGTATGTCTCTAGATAGACTTGTAATGAAAAGCATTTTTTCTGTAATCCTATTTTAGATGACTAAACGCACAAATACATAGCAAATTGCATTTCTTATATTCAAAACGCCATATTTGACAAGAAAATACGAAAATAAAGGTATTTTATTCTAGGGAGAGCTTAAATGAAGAGAATACTTCAATTTCCCTTAGATTTGATGGAGATTTATACTGGATTTATGTCTAAAGCAACTATGTTTATGTATGTTACCATAGAGATTGTTCCTACCCCTTAATGAATTATTATTTCATCCGTTCTTCGATGTCCTTTAATCTTTCTGTTAAGCGGCCTGCATTGATGCAACTAATAACGTCTCCTGATTACGAATTAATCGTTTGTCTGTGTTCATCAGCCTTGATATACTTGTTCACGTCTCACCTTTTAAGTATTATCCAAACAATGTTGGCAATCTTCCGTTTGCCGCCCTATGGATTCAAATGGCAAAGTTGCAATTCTCATTCAGGCCTATATACTTCTAAAGAACTTTACATTTGACATTATTTTCTGAAATTATAAATGCTTGAATCAAATTCTCTATAGAAAAGCCAGAAAAGGCAACTCATGGTTTATGTTCAACTCTATTGATTGCAAAAGTTACATATGATATATGATATGAAATTAATATATTCAAGGATTATCTAAGATGAAAATTGCAACTTTTACCCATTTAATGTGCAAATGTAAAGGTGGATTACTAATTGGGCAACAAAGGAATAATAAATGGAAAAGCTACTATGCGGAATCTTTGATATGGTCTACAGCCCAAGAAATTAAGGCAGCGTTCGTCTCGGTTGTAATTACTTTTAGGATGCCTGGCTTCTTTCTCAATTTCATGCTCAACTAGGATATTTATAAGATCATCTTACCCTTTGCTATTCTTGTCATATCTCCGAATCAATGAATCCCAATTATATATACAGTACCCGCAACTAAAACACAAATGCTTTTCTTTTGTTTTTGTGTGAATTCAATTTGGAGTTGATGACTCAACAATATACTATCATAAAATATATGATTTATTTTTGACAGCAAGTTTGATTAGACAAGGCCGACGAGATAATGAAGCAGAAATGCCAAAATGAAGCATAGTGTGTTGAATAGCGCACTATCCTAACTGTTTCATACGATCATATAACATGGTTAGTGGCCATAGACTCTGGGGAGTGGTTATTAACATTTGATAAACATTCTAATAGTAACTTGTGGCGTACAAATGATGTTTTGTGACTCGCTACATCGCGTTGAACATATCTATGTCGGTAATGACTGTCCAGGGACTCTATTGGTAAGTCGTGTTAATCATTGTTGATAACGCTTATTACGTGAGGCTAAATGATCACTGTCATGTAGTGTGATGATGATATTATTCTGGATATTGGGAAGCCAATTAACCCCAAAGCAGTCGAGGAGGTCTGGCATTTCTCTGGTTCTTTTTTTAGGTTTGAGTTGAAGATTGACTCTAACGTATGATTGGATTTAATAAACCCCGGCAAATGTTTTTTGATTGGGCTCCAGTCGGGGGAACATGAGAGTCATGGTAAATAACCACGACCTGCATCAGATATTCATTCCACGATCAACCTCTATGAGTAGGAACATTGCTTGGAGGAACATTAAGTAGTCCTCCATAAAGTTTTGCCTCCAAACAATTATGTGTGGTTCTTTCTTTTCCTTTGGATACCTCTCGGACGCCTATTTATTAATTGTGGATCGGCAAACAAATAACTTAATGATATGACAATGCCATTCTCACATATTATTATTATTTTCTATCCATTTTTTATACAAGCTCATGGCTCCATATTCTTGAGTAAAATTAGCAATGTAGTCCCTTTAAATTGGAAAAGCAAGTTTTGTGGGTTTAATCTAGCACCTTAGTTATCCACATATAACACATATTTTCCAATACAATCATCTTTACTGATTTGTCTTATGATCAATATTCCATTTTTTACCAGGAAATAATTTCAGAACATGGTGACACCCTACGGCATGTGGATCTCTGACAGACTGTATACGATGTCGATCTGATACCATTTCATTATTTGAGAGATATTATTCTGACAGCTGTATATTTCAATATGTAGAACCCTATTGTTTGTAAACCTGTCTTATTCAAAAACCTTTAATATTTTTTAGTTCATACCCAAATTCCATTTTAGAAACAATTGCAAAAGTGATTTCTACATCTCTATCAAAAATGTTTTCAAAATGTATTCTTAAATAGCAATCGTCAAATAAAAATATGGACGTTTTTTGCCTAAACTTTACATTGATGTTTTCACTTTGAAAAAAGTTATTATAATGCTAGCTTGAAACACCTACATAACATCCATTGAAAACCCATTTCTGTATTTTTTACATAATAATTAAAAAGCACATATCTGTCAACTAGGACCCGATTTTTCTCACAATTAATTAGTAGTTGTTAGTCTTGTCATGGTTGTACTTCATAAATATTCATGCCTTGATTCATTTCCGCCAAATGATATACGACCATGGAAATATCTTCTCTGAATGTATAAAAAATCTCTTTTTGAGTTTACTTAACAACTAGAATGTTATTACACACTTAGTAAAAACCCAAAGGGGGTATTTTTCATTTAATCCATTGAGTAAATGTATACTTGCTCTTTAAAATATCGTCGAAACAGCTTGCCATTTAGCAATATCTAGATGGGGTACGGTAAGGCCTATGTATCTCAAGAATTCCAACTTACAGCCACCTCTCTATGTTTTTACAGAATCAAAACAAAAAATCTGCCTGAAACATTTCGACTGGACATGGTAATGAGCTAGAATGCTGTCGAGCGCCACCTTTGTCAAACTCGGTATTCCAAGCCATGATACCAGGTCGTCAATCTTATCGCTACTTGAGCCAATCCCCTTTTAGTCCTACACATTTAAAGGGAACAACATGAAATATGCCGGGGAATATTTGTTGAATCATTCAACATTATCAAACACTTGGTAGCATTTCATCAAAATTGCTTTTCAATACGTTAGCCATGGTAAGTAAATGGAATTATGAGATAAGACCTTTGGGGAACTACAAGCTTCCTTCTTTAAATTACTGACGCCATGTTGTAATAGGAGGTGATTATACCACATCAATAGATGGTCAGCCTTATACTATACCAAAATAACATATCTACTGGTTATTACATCAAGTAAATTGAAAATGTCCAATATGACTATGTAGTTAGTATCAGAGGACTGCAAAAAGTCACATAGGATGAACGTATTGTTTTATGTTATAGAATGGTGAAATGGGTCCGTTCGTGTGATCCGAATTTGCTGTGGAAATAATATACCCGATTGTACTTATTCGTAATGTGACATTGGTGGATCCAGAAGCTTACATGGGGGGGTTGAGTCATGAAAAAATTTAGGGCCCCTAAAATCCAGAATTGGGCTCAAATTTTGAGAATATAAGGCCCATTTTTGATAATTGGCCCAAATTATGCCCATAAAGCCCATTTTTTGAGGCCCTCAAAATTGTTGCCCCCTGGATCCGCCAGTGATAGGAGTAGCATCAAATGGCTAGGGTAACGAGACATTAACATTGTACATGGCAGTCTCTAAAGGCATTTCAATTTTATTTTTATAAAATTTCAGTCAAGTTAACCATTTATCAGTCTTGACTCATCTGTTGTGGTTAATTCTGGTGGTCAGAAAAGGACGATTGGTTTCCAGGGCTCCAACTCGATGTTTTTTCAATGCAGATTTCTACGGCAAAGTTCGCACAAACCTAACTGCAAAGCGAATGGCCGATATTCTTGTGACATTGACATTGATCGACGACGGCATTGAAAACGTCTTATTTTCACATACTATAACCCCGGGACTATGACGGACTATACTGAGATTAATAATCAGCGATCTAAACTGAGATTTGAACTAATTTGTTGATCACTTGTGTGTTTTGAACTTCTTGTTTGGAAATAGACTACAATTCGCGGTTCAAAATCTAGTGTGAAACAATGGCTGTTTAATTTTGAATTTTTGTAATCACGAAATGATTCTTTATATGACAGAACATTGAGCTGGAACCCTGGGAGCCAATCCTCCTAGGTTGTCAGACAAGGAGGATTAGCTCCCAGAGTGCAACATCGATATTTTTGCCATATACCAAGGAGGATTGGAAGCCAGGGTTCCAACTCGATATTCTTTAATCTCCACGCATGCGTCATTTGCTATTCGTGTCTGTATAATTTGTACGACTGCATGGAGAATGACCCGA